TCCCTACACTTTCCTACTTCATACATTTGTATTTCAGAAATCCATGTAATATTCTTTTGACAGACAGCATGAGACAAAGTGCTTGGTTTGGACTTGGAGAATGCAGGCACAAATGTCAAAAAAAGGTGGTTTGCTTTTTAAAAAAATGAAAATTAAGTAAAATAATCCAACAAATGTCATTCTGAATGATGGCACATCCAGATGTCAGACTTTCCACACTTTCAATCTGGAACTTGTCTACAAAACTGAAAAGCAATCTTTTGTATGAACTCATGGCATCAAATGTAACATCAGCCCCCACAGATGAATGGTCCAAGGGGAATATTTGCAGCTACATGGAAGGTCAAGCACGTCAAGAAAGTGTTTTTTACCTTTATGGTAAAAGCCACCTGGAGAGGACCCCTCCTCCCCACAAGGCACACCCGCTTCACTTTGCTGCGGGCCAGGATTGCCAGTGAATCTTCTGTGATATCAGTTTTCTAGGCAAAGGAAACAACAGTAAAACAGTGGATTAGGGCAGGTAATCGGCGGAGTGATAGTGGACAGCTAGATAGAGACCCAGCTGAGCTCTGAGCAGGAGGAGACAGAGCTGCCAGAGGGGTGAGTGTTTTTTTATTTGCTTTCAGCTGAGGGGATTCAGCTGAGGATATTATGTGGGAGGACTGTGTTTGGGAGTGTGTGAAAGCGATTAGAGTTGTTGCAGAGTCCTGGCTGCTTGAGAGAGGGAGAGGAAGGGGCATTGTTTGTCTATGATTGACTTTAATTCAGTATTTAAGAAAGCACCTTGCCAGAGGCACGAGCCTCTGGCACGAGCCGAAGGGTGAGCTAAAGGGCTCTTATCCTAGGGGCTCTGTAAGAAACCCAAAAAAGAGCCAGAAAGCCAAGGCCCTAGGCTCTTTGTCTTCCCCGTAAGGTAAGTTGACTTCGACAAGAAAAACCACATAAATACAAAGGGTTTTAAAAGAGGGATTATATTTACTTATTTTAAAAGAATTATGAAGCCAGAATGCCAGAATGCCAGCAGGGGGTTGGAGGCTATCCAGTGTTTTGCACGGAGTGTCACATGTATGACTATCTGCCCACTGGACAGAAGTCTTCGGTGTGTGCTCGGTGCAAGGAGCTCCTGGTTCTCAGGGAACGTGTTTGCTCCCTTGAGGCCAAGGTGGCTGACCTGGATAAGCAGAGACAGTCAGTTAGGTGCACAGAAAAGACTCTCGGGGACTTGATAGATATGTCCCACTCTGGATCTGGCAGCCCCGCCGCTGTCAGGGAGCATGAGGGTCAAGGAGAAACAGGGCACCGTGCTGAGGATAAGGGGAATGTGCCCTCAGAAGGGACCTCTTCCCCAGCTGGTGAGCGGGTATCCTTTTGCACCAAGGAACCATCCCTGGGCAGGGTGGGAGGGGGGGCTCTTGGTAGTTGGTGATTCCATCCTTAGGCAGGTAGACAGCTGGGTGGCGAACCCGCGTACTGACCGTATGGTGACTTGCCTGCCTGGTGCGAAGGTAGCAGACATTACACGTGTTTTAGATAGGCTGGTAGATAGTGCTGGGGAGGAGCCAGTGGTCGTGGTGCATGTCAGCACCAACGATGTGGGGAAATGCAGTCATGAGGTCCTGGAGGATAAATTTAGGCTGCTGGGCAGGAAACTTAGGTCCAGGACCTCCAAGGTAGCTTTCTCAGAAGTGCTACCTGTTCCACGCACAGGGCTGGAGAGACAGGCACAGATCAGGAGTCTCAATGCGTGGATGAGACAATGGTGTAGGGGGGAAGGTTTCAAGTTTGTTAGGCACTGGGATGCTTTTTGGAACAAGAGGGAGCTGTACAGGCGAGACCTGCTCCACTTGTCCCGAGAAGGAACCAGGCTGCTGGCACTTAAAATCAAAAAGGTGGCAGAGCAGTTTTTAAACTGAATATTGGGGGAAAGCTGATAGGAGATGAAAAGTTTCTGGTTCGGGTTGGCTCATCTCAGAGAGATGAGGGGGTACCTGTTGCTTTTCTGCAGGGAGGTGGATTGAAATTGTCCACTGAGACCATGGCTAGTGACATGGACTGCCTGACAAGGTCTCAAGATAGCAAGAGGAAGGTTGCAGACTTAACTAGTACGGGAAATTACAGCTGTTTCTGTACAAATGCTAGAAGTGTCCAAGGTAAAACCGGGGAGTTGGAGTGCTTGGTGTTGGAGGGAAAAATAGACATTGTGGGTATTTCAGAAACAGATAGCGGCCTGTCCTGTGTTGGAGGGGATTGTATTTAAAGGCATCGGAGAGGCTGGGCCAGCAGCAGGGCTAAGGCAATCCCGCTGAGCAAACCTTCCCGGTGGCTGTAAGCATCCCACCACCTCTCCTACACCTGACAGGTAGCTAGCTGCCTGTCCAGTGTAGGAGGGGGAGGAGTATTAGAAGCCACTGTAGAGGCTTGGCTGGCAGGATCACTAAGGCATTACTGCTGGGGCGGGCTCCCTTGTGGCTTTAAGCACCCTGCAACCCCTGCTGCACCTGACAGACAACCGCCTGTTAGGTGTAGGAGGTGGGAGGAGTATGTTTGAAGCCATCAGAGAGGCTGGGCCAGCAGCATTACTGCACCACACAGGTGGTTGTTGGCCATTCCTGATTTCCTCAACTGTCATTAGCTCTCTGCAGTCTCCTGTAACTGTTGGGTTTTTTTTTTACCTCAGAACACTGAGCTCTACAGCTGACCAGACATTGAGTGGGGGGTGCAAGGAGACAGCAGCCTGGCAGCCGCATAGGAATCAATGGGGGGAGCACATTTTACCCGTTTTGACCCACTTAGGGGTCGAATTTCTAAAAATCCCTTCTTAGTGAGCATCTACACCATGGTAGGAGCACTCTCCCTGAATTTTGTGTTTCTAGGTCCACGGGGTTTGGCCTGGGTGTTGATTTTACGGTGAGGGGACTTTCTTTTATATATATAGATGGCTATTGTTTGCAAAGTTATCAGAATGCAGACCAGTTCATTTTCTGGTTGCCAAGCATTAAGCATTTTGAAAGGGAAAGAATCTCCTATTTATACCTGCATGGACTATCGAGAAACGATGCTATACATGTCCTCCCGCACTGACATCCCATACGTAAAACGAGAACTAGTCTTCAGAAAACAAGGTGAGTCTTCAGGTTTCAGAGCTTCTGTGTTTTGTACAGTCCATTACATTACTGTCCCAATCTCTGAACCCCACAAACACTCAAATCTGCCTGCATGACCTCTTATCACCCGTGCATTTAAACAGAATCCTGTGGCTCTTTATGGTGCCACTGTAGCACTGAAGTGCTACATTGGTCTAGCGCTATAGCGCTCAACTTCAAACTTTAAAAAAGTTTAAGGAAGATGGCACAGCAAAAGAGGGCAGGGGGAAAAGCACGGCACCATTGGAAGTGCTGCAGACACTTTAAACAGCACACTACAGTGATTCAGAAGCACAAAGAAGAGGTGAAAATGGAAGAAAGCAATTTACCTCACAAACGGCTAAACCACGCTTTGCTAACTGGATGCAAGCAGTTTTGTATGAAAAGGTAAATAAAATCCATTAGCAGCCAGTTACTAAAATGGTTGTGTCTGAAATGACACAAAATATCTGTTAGCAACTGACTACCAAAACAGGTCACAAAGGCTGTCTGAAACGGGGCCCATTGTCATTCCCTGCCATTTCACTATTTCACCAGTCACAGAATAGCTAGTAGATACTTACTGTCTCTTGTCCCTAGTTGAACAAACTCCATTTTAGTCAGTGCTTCATCATTGGATTTAGCCCAGTTAGAAAGGCCAATTGCTGAAGCTGGTGAGGGCAGCAGATAAAACTCAAAGCTACTTCTAATTTCCCCAGCACATATACATGAAAGAATAATGCATACTGCCCCCTTGTGTTTAGTTTAGATACTGAACACCGTTCCAGAACACATCATGTAAAGTGCTGTTGCCATGTCCCACACAACCTAAAGTGGCAAAGCCAAAGCTCTCACCCTTCACCTCCCCCAATGAGCACATTCCATTTATTTTGTTTTGCAGTGGGTCTTTCTTCTGTTCATACAGGAGAGAAGCATAGACTTTCACGATGATAACTTCCAGACTGACCACTTGTTGGTGCTCTGTGATAAGATGCCCAGCTACCCAACAGGGACCAAGTGGGAAGAAAATAGCTCTGAATATGCAGACTGCTCTGCCTTTGCTAAGGGGGAAAGAAAGAAGAGGATAGAAGAGCCCCTCTCTCTAAGGAGAACCACAGATTAAAGCTTTTATCTTCAGTGGCTGCAGGCTGATAAAAGCCAGAACTTAAGTATTTAGTGTGTTTAAAAAGCAGTAGAATATGAAGCAACAGTTATCTGTTTTGACAATGACAGAGTATCAATTTGAGCACCGTGGATTTAAGGAGAATGCTTCACTTCCAGCAGAGTCTCAGAAAATGAGAGGAAGGATTTTCTTACACCCCATTTCTTGCCTCCTTGGTAAAGCAGGGACTCATATTGCATGCACACAGTGATACATTGCCCTGATCCTATCTGCTCCTTCAATTACTCCCCCACCCACTCCCACCCCTTTAGGTGGCAGATGCTGGATTACAACCTTCCCACAGAGCTAAGCAGCAGGACAGCTCTTATCTGCAAGGCGGGAAGCCAAGAAGCTGGCTGCAGTCAGGGAGCTGTTTTAATTAGAGATTCTGTCCAGCTCTACTTCTGCGCAAGAGTCCTTCTTTAATCTAAAGGGGATTTCTGAGAGTTTTACATAATATCTTGCACATCTTTGCATTTTACCTGCAGTTTGTTCTTGACTCACCCTAAGAATTTCAAGAGGCGACAAGAGAATCCGTGCAACATCCAGGGCCACATTCCCATGTCCGAGGACCACCGCCGTCTCACTGCTCAGGTCTGGCTTCAGCTACAAGGGTAGAGAGATGCTTCACAACCACCACTCTGGCTATCTCCCAGCCTACTGCAGGTGCTCCCAAGTTTTTAATCAAGGCAACCCAACACAGAATTTTTGATAGGTTCTCACACCAAGAGGCTGGAAAGTTATGCTTCAGGGACAACATTCAGGGACACTTTATAGCAGACTATTTTCCCCACTGCTTGTCTCTTCTATACAGTAAAATCAAATGTATGTGACGAATGCAAACACCTGTTTTGCCACAGATTCAGGCACAGGATACACAGGGCTTTCCCAGAAAATAGCAACATCCATGTAGAAATCATCTCATGGGAAGCATCCTTCAGTGATGCTCAAGGCCATACTCTGATTTAACATACACAATATGGCCTCAAAGCCCAGAGTAGACAGCCACAGTGCCCACCTAAAAAGCTCCCATTTTGGAGTCATCACTCATCAGCATGTGTTATATATATTACATGCTGTCATTTCCCCACAAGGCAACATCATAAAACTACTTTACATCTTCGTCCCCATCTACAGAATACACGAACAGGGGGATTATGATATTCCTTCCTTGCAGAAGAAAATAGAGGGTGGGGCCATGGCTCAGTAGTAGGATGTCTGTTTTGCATGCAGAATATCCCAGTTTCAGTTCCTGGATCTCCAGCTAAAGGAGTCAGGTGATGTGGAAAATCTCCATCAGAGACCTGAAAAGTTGCTACCAGTCAGAGTAGATGATGTCCCTGGGAGACCAATGGTCTGACTCTGTATAAGGTAGCGCTCTCTCTCTCTCTCTGTGTGTGTTTGTGTGTGTGCGCGCGCGTGTGTGTGTAAAAGGAGGTGGTACTTGCCAGCCCTGAGGGAGAAAGTGGTTTTCTACTGGATGACAACCAACTCTATGCCTTCAGAGTTAGGGCAAAAGACAGTGTATTCTCACTCTCCCCTCACCCTCAGGCACATACATACATCCACACCATCCCCCCCAAAAAGAATATGCTTCTGTCCAGCTATAGGCAAACAGGGCCAATGTGGAACAGAACTTGTTATCTTACAGGAAACCACAACAACTTCTCTGGGTAAAGTATCACACGTGAGGTATCCAGGCCTTTCCCTCATCCCAAAGGCATAAATGTTCCTTCCATTTTTCCTCATGGCACCTACCAAAGAGGGAGACAGCTAATCCCCTTTTACGGACATGCAAATTGTTCACATTTGTAAATCTGAGGAGGTTTTAATTTGATGTCTGCTAAGCTTTTCCAACTGCAGGCCTTTCAGCCAGCTACTAATCTGAAGCTGGATAGCTGTGTCGGAATATGTAGAAAGTCTAGTGAGGCAGGGTGGGAGATGGGGAAAGAGAAGCTTACATCTCCTTACATCTCTGTTCTCAGGTAGGCCATTGTACCAACCCACAAAAGCTCTGGCTGTATAAACTCCTGCAAGATCCTCCCCTGGAATTCCAAGAGTTCGATTGTCCTCGGCCCCGTAGCTCTGTACAGAAAGGACAACAACAAAAAAGCACACATATTTTCCAGGCTGCAAGCCTCTCACATAAATGTACACACAGCTGATATTTCTTCCACAGAGAAATACCTGCAGCAGAATTCATGCTGAAAAGTGTTTGTTGTTGTAGATTTTCCGGGTTGTATGGCTGTGGTCTTGGCTAATACCACGGCCATACAGCCCGGAAAATCTACAACAACTAATGAACTCTGGCCGTGAAAGCCTTTGACAACATACTGAAAAGTGTTTTTCTAGAGTTCACAATCCATTGGAAAGCTCAATAAGCAACAACAGGCCAGCTTTATCTTCTTTTTTCCGGATTTCTTTCTGTAAAACTCACATGGATTTTGTATGCAATTAAAATTTTTTTTCAAAGGTACTGCTCTATGGGAAGGGGAAAAGTCACATTGTCACAGAAGTTCTATCACTGAATCAATATTTGATAGCAAGGAACTACAGAGAGCCCGTGTACTGTAGTGGTTAAGAGTGACAGGCTCAAATCTGGAGAACCTGGTTCGATTCCACACTCCTCCACATGAAGCCGGCTGGGTGACCTTGGGTCAGTCACAGCTTTTTCAGAGCTCTCTCAGCCAAAAAAAAAAAAGAAAAGTCTAGCTCACCACTTTAGTGGTGCATAATGCTAAAAGGGCTAGAACTTAAGGCTGACAGACAATCTTCTGGCTATACTACACACATTGCCATATGATAATTAATTATTGTTATAGTATGGAACTAAAAGAGGGTGCATTCTTCATGAAAACATTCAGCAGTTGCAAAAATTAGGGGATTAGGCTCCCAACTTTTGATGGGGCTCCACTGGTGCCTATGTCAGGGGTGAAGAGTCTGAGGGGGTTCCTGGATGCCTCCCTCTCTATGGAGGCCCAGGTCACCACCACTGCCAGGTCTGCCTTTTTCTATCTGAGGCAGATCAGGCAGTTAGCCCCATATCTCACTCCCCAAGACCTGGCTACAGTGACCCATGCAATGGTCACTTCCATACTGGATTCTTGTAACTCTCTCTATGTGGGGCTGCCCTTGACTCTGCTCCGGAAGTTGCAGCTAGTGCAGAATGCAGCAGCACAGGTGTTGAGGTTCCTGCCTGTGCAGGCTCGTATCCACCCAGTGCTGCGTGAACGGCACTGGCTGCCTATTGAATTCCAGATCCGTTTCAAGGTGCTGGTGCTAACCTTTAAAGCCCTATACAGCCAGGGGCCAGCATACCTACGAGATTGCCTCTCCCCATATCAGCCCCGGAGGGCACTGAGGTCCACATATCAACAACCCTTGGTGGTCCCCGGCCCCAGGGATGTTGGATTAGCCTCGACCAGGGCCAGGGCCTTCTCAACCCTGGCCCCCACCTGGTGGAACAAGCTCCCCTACAAGATTAGGGCCCTGCAGGGTTGAGGCAGCGGCCACCCCCCCCCCCAGCTTTTGGCCAATCACCCATCAGTGGCCTGGATCTGACTGGACATCTGATTAGACATCAGATTTGATCTAACATCTGATCTCTCTGCTTTTACATGGTATTTTATATTATTCTATGCAAACTGTTTTTTTTAATGTTATTTTAATTGTATTATTTACTTGTGGTATACCGCCCTGAGCGCGTCCATGGAGGGCAGTATATAAATCAAATAAATAAATAAATAAATAAAGGTGCACACCCCACACAACCACTTTCTGCAGCCTGGGGAGGGGATGCTGCAAGACGGGACAAGTGTGTTTGCTCACTCTACTGGGGCAGCAATTGCCTTGCAGAGAGTGGTGGGGCTGGTAGTCACCCAGTTACCAGCAGCAAAGCCATAGGGCATGGAGCAGGCAGGCAAAAAAAACCCAGCCCAGTTGCTATGCTGTCACCACTGACAACACCCAGGGCAAGCAATGAAATGACTGCAGAGTGGCAAGAGTGGGAAGCATCAATCTGGTGGCCTTTTTTATTTCGGGAATTTTTATGCCACTTCTCCAGAACACTGCTTGAGGCAGCTCACACCTAAACAGGCCAATAAAACCAACAAAACGAGTTAAAAAATGACAAGCCAATAAGAACACACCGGAGAATAAAAACGACATAAACCAAATCGAGCAGACTAAAATGATACCATCTGAACTCTGAAAGTGTGGGAAGAGAGAGTAGGGTTTGATAGGCCCATCTGAACCAGCAGGCTGGACAATATGGGAGGAGGCAATCCTTGGCAACAGACCAGGTAGCTGCACCTCCACCTCCCCAGCACCCACTCTGTGTCAGCAATGACATGATGGAAGCATGGCCTCATTCTCATTTGACTTCATCTGCCCTCAGTGACACAGTTGTGTAGGCAAATCTGACTGGCTATGCAGTATTGTGACATCACACGCACTGTATTATCTCACTATTCTCAGGAATACGCTTCAAGTTTTTAAAAATGCCACCAAGAGGAACAGCAGACTGAAGCAGGTAGGCATGAAAAAAGTTAACATTTGGAGCAAATGAGAAATGTTTTTGGCCTAAAGCAAAAATGGACCACGATTCTGCAGAGCATTGATAATCAATACAAGCTTGCGGACACGATTTTCAAATTCACATTTATTATGTAAGGAGATGAATTCAAAGAGAAGCCAATGAGAATGTTTAGGGATGGGAGAACATTTTCCAACATATTACCCAACTACATACAAACTAATGAGGTTGGATGGTTGGTTCTTTTTTAATAGAAAAGTTGAGAAGAGAAAATGGTACATTATTACAGCATTCAGTTACTCTTCCATGCCTTCAGCAAACCTGTTTTCTGATTCAGATAATGGGGTTACTTGGGGGTAGGGCTATCCAGGCCCCAACAGAAGTATTCGAAAGCAAAGCAACACTCACTTGTGCCAGCTGTATATGTTATCCTCCTCACTCCAAGCGCAATGGGCCCAATAATCCCATGGAGAAAAGTTGGAACTTGGTCCCAGATGCTGTGAGAAGCATGTGTGGTTTGACAAACCTGGGTTTTGTATATTCTAAGAGTAGACTGTTTGCTTGGACCTGCCATTTCCCCCCCACTCCCTTATTTTCTCTGATTCTTCCATATGACAAAAGACAGGCAAGCAAGCTCACCAAGATCACCGCATGATAAGCCTTCTGCAGTTCTTTCACAGTGATATCCTTCCCCACGGTCACATTCCCGTAATAGGAACAGCGATCAGAGCGTGCTGTCTGAGTAAACGTGTTGATTACATTCTGTTGGGAGAGGCCAAAAGAAGCTCCATCTCAAAAACAATTCTTCTCTTCCCACAGTACCCAGCTGCAAGGTCTGAGACAAGATCCTCAATGACCTTGCAGCATCTAAGCCAGCATCTCAGCCTCTGATTCATGCTGCTGCTTCCAAGACTCTTATCTCCCAACTGGTAAGAATATCTCATTTTAAAGTAACACTGTTATCCATGGCCTGGCTCCAGGCCAGTCTGTGCCACAAAAAGGGTATAGCCATTTTTCCCCCAGCACACACTTGCCAGTAGCATTTCAGTTGCTTTACAATATCAGATTTACCTCATGGAAAAACAGTGGAAAGTTACCCATGGAGGGACTTTTATTCACAGGATTTAATGAAGGCAGAGTAGTGATGACCTTGTTCGAGCACCAGGTTTTTCCATCCACAATCTGGTAGCACATATTACTGTTTAATTACCTTTTGAGATTTATAAAGGCCTTGTGAAATCAAAAGGTCTGGTGCAAAGAAAAACCTAACTCCATAAAAAGAAACTAAGTGGTGTACACGTGAAGGCATAAGTGTGTACACAATAGGGATTCTAGCTAACGCTTCTCCCATCTGAAGCCCCTTCAGGGATTTTTTCCCTTTCCACACTATATTCATGTGGCATTTGTAGCTCCCTCTGCTACAGACGAGGAGGGGAAAGCTGTGGCATCAGTATTGCTTCCTAGAGAGCACTCAGATAATAAACAAGGGCAATGGCTGAGGAGAAAGGAGAGCACTGCAGCCAGGCCTAAGTGGCTTAGCAAAGGAGCTGCTTTCCTAGCGTTCATTGGGAGGTACCCCTCCAGGCAAGACCACTCCCTTTTCAACACTGAATCTCTCCTGCTGTATGCTACGTACTCATTTATTTCACTTTGAGGAACTCAGAGCAGCCTTTTGGCCCAACCACAACTCTGTAAGGTTGAGGAGGCTGAGAGAGTGGGACTTGGCCAGCAATGCCTACAGCTGGGCAAGGATTTGGTTCCCAACAGGCAAATCCTCAAGATCTAGCCCATGTGCCAAGGGCTCCAACACTCCCTTCCTTGAAGAATGGAAGAAAAGGTTTTAGTGACTGAAGTCAGAGGTTCAAATAGCCGACTGTGCCCAAACCCACAAGAATCGTTTCCAAATCTCTGGTCTCCTCATGCTGCGCTCCATCCTTTACTGATCTGAATTCAGTGCTGACCTTGACTTCCGGATGGTCTGGAGCCACTCCAAAACGGACAAGGCCAAAGGGAACCGGCAGCTTCTCATAAACGTCCACCTGAGCCAGCCTGTGGTGCTTGGGGAAGAAGTTCAAATTCATTAGAACATAACACAGCTAAGATGACAAAGCACAAACAAAAGCCAAAGGGGGTATTCACTGAGGTTACTATATTTGTGGTGGTTTGATGCCATTCCTATTTCCCTTATACTTTTATTTATGTATTTACTTCATCCACTTATAACCTGTATTCCTCTCCATTGGGAATCCAAAGTGGTCTGCATTGTTCTCACTTCCATTTCATGGCAGCCAATGACTGAGGAACAGAAATGCCAGTTAGTCCTGGACCAATGTCACTGTAAATATGGCCCTCCTGCCTAGCTAAAGCACTCAACTGATTCTCCTGCACATAAAAAATTCACTGCAGGGAAGTATTTCCTTATCACACCTCTATGGCTCTTAAGATTATGAACAAGAAAGAGACACCCAGGTTACCTGCAGAGTCTGACCGCAGTCATCACCTTTGAATTGTAATTGATTTTACTGCTGAAATCAATCAAGAAGCAAGTGGGACAGGCATAGAACAGGAATTACGGATTGTTATACAAGACCGACCCCCCCCCCACGTTAAACTACTTCGTTCTCCTAGATAATCATCTCATTAAAAGCAAGGTGACACTTTCAGCAACAGGAGAGAAAATGGCACTGGGACATCAGGCTAGAAGGTTGATTCCAGCATGATTAGACAAAGGAAAACCAGAGTAGAGGCAAGTGCTGAGGATTCAGCAAACATTAATAGAGAAAATGACAACAGCAGTGAATCCTGATTAATTGCCAGGTTCATGTGAACCTGCTAAATAGCTCACAGATGACTGGACTTTAACATGGCTCTAATAAATATTTATAGCTAATCAATGTTTACTGAAAGGCTAACCACAACAGCCAGATTCTAACCTGAAAAAACCAAGGGTGCTTTTTTGTGGGAGGCACAGATCACTGAAGGAACAAGAATTTAACTCAGATATAAGTGTCGGCAAAGTTCCAATTTATTTTTGCCATCAGGACACAGTTTACTTATGGCAACCCTGTAAGGTTCTCCAAGGCAAGCCACAATCAGGGGTGGTTTGCCATTGCCTGTCTCCACGTCACAACCCTGGTATTCCTTGGAGGTCTCCCATCCAAATACTATCCAGGGCTGACCCTGCTTAGCTTCCAAGATCATGCTAGGTCAGTGGTAAAGTCCCAATAAGTTGGATTTTATTGATCCCTAGAGAGACTTCTCTTGTGACCTAAGAATTCATTAGCTGCCCAACTACCTTCATCTGGAGATTGGGATATTTTAGCTTAAAGCAGGAGGCAAAATGTTTTAAAATTCATTTAATCCAGTTTGAAACCCCTTTGGTACTTCCAACTGAGAACATCCTGGGAACCACAGTTCAATGAAAGGGCCAGGGATTGCTAGCCAGCATCCCCACAGAACTACAATTTCCAGGGTTCCTCCAAAGCCAAAACACTTCAACAGGCTTCACATCACTTTATATGTGTGACATAAAGTAGAGATGTCCATTTGTGGAAAAATAATGAAATATCTTTTCAGTTGCTGTAACAAAAGCAAACAGGAAAACTGACATTTCCTAATTCTTGTTAGATTGGCTCCAGACTACGGTTTGAGTCCAAGTGGCAGCTTTAAGACCAACAAAGTTTTATTCAAGGTGAGCTTTCGTGTGCACACACAATTCTTCAGACGCTTCTTCTTTATGTAAGAAGGGTTTTATTGTATTTAGCCATAGGCCATTACAAACCAAAAACAGAGAAAAATACTATAGAACATAGATAATTATATAAAATAGAATACAGTCTAAAATATTATAAAACCATAAAACCGAAGTTATGAATGGTTAATTAAATCACAGCATACCCACTAAGATCAATATTAACTAGTACCCCTAAGATCAACGTTGGCCCGTATTTTCTTTGCAGCCAAGGCAAATAGACCCATACTGTAGGATACATTGACATTGGAATCAGCTAACAAAAATATAATCTTCTCAGGGTCTGAATAAAAGCTTAAAACTGATAAAATACCAGAGAGAAATTTTAGCCTAGGTTGGGTATACAATGAGCAATCAAGGATATAATGGGAGAGATCCTCAATAACGGAAGAGCCAGAAATACATAAGCACTGTTCCTTAGGTGTTCTACTATAGTGGCGAGCTAATACGGCCGTTGGCATTGATTCAAAGCACAATCACTTCTTCTTTATGTCTGAAGAAGTGTGCATGCACTCAAAAGCTTATACCTTGAATAAACCTTTGTTGGTCTTGAAGGGTGCCACTGGACTCAAGCTTTGTTCTGCTGCTTCAGACCAACATGGCTACCCAGCAGATTCTGGCTCCAGACTGTCCGGTTTAGAGAGTTCAGACTCCTGGTGAGGGAGAGTCAATAGAGAATAAAATGATAGGTCTTCTTTCCAGTGAATGGTGGGAGCACTGTGGAAAGAAGGACCAGTCATTGCTGGTTTGGAGAGGGCTTTCTCTATTCTATGCAAGCAGCAATCTTTGCAGTTACTTTACCTGTGCTAGTACCACTCTCACAAACATGGTTCATTTATATGTTCTTCCACTTTGCAAATGTCATAGCTATTATATAACGGGCCTCTGCACAAGGGAGAATGTCATTGATTTACTCTGGTGTGTATCCATGTTGGCCTGAAGCAGCAGAACAAAGTTTGAGTCTACCTCAGTTCTGAAGAAGTGTGCTTGCACACGAAAGCTTATACTTTGAATAAAATTATGTTGGTCTTAAAGGTGCCACTGGATTCAGACTCTGTTCTAATGATTTACTCTGTTTGCTAGTGTGTGGTTTCACCTTCATTTGCTTTCTCTTTAGTTTTAGCCCTAGTGCAAGTCTGTTAGTTCTGTATTCCGCCTGTGAGTAGGTTACAATGCAATCCTATAGACAGTAACTCCAGTCTAAACCTACTGACCTTCCACAGGTTTTCCCTCTTAAGAGTCACTGTCTTGTGTGCTGTTCTGATTATTTGCTGCATAGACACTCAGTCTTTGTGCATCACTCCTACTGAGTGCACCCATTTTAATAGTTCAGTTTGTCTGTCTACACATGGATCACCTAGTGCACTGCATGCGCATTTAAAGCAATTTCCACCAGGCACTAATATTCCAGCATCTGCTTCTCCTAAGGAATCACACATTTTTCAGAACAATGCAAGCCCCTATAATGACTCTGCTATGCTATCTACCTTTCTTGAGGCGCCAAATGCCTTCCTCGGCACCAAATGCAAGCCTCTGTGCCTGGTACACAGCTTGGTCTACCTTGTTTTGGGTGCCAAACACCTCTCTGTGCCTGCACTGCAACACTGCCTGCTTTCTGGGGGTACTCTATGGCCAGGCCCATAGCCGTGGCAGTGCACAAAGGGGCATGGCCCCACCAATCATCTGTCATGCCCCTCCAATCAGCACTAGAGGTTGTTGTAAAATCTGTCATACGTCTTCTGCCAGTGAGAGAGGGCATTTCCTCCTCCCTCCCTCCCAACTGTGGCACCGTAGCACATTTAGAGGCTTTTTAAAAACAACAACTCTATTTTAGCCTGGGTGGGGAATGTTCAAAGGTGGTTGGGATCAGAGGGGGTGGGTGGCAGCAGCAGCCTCTGTATTCTGCCCTTCACAAGTGGACTTGTGACCATTTTACAGTGTGTGCTGCTGCCCATGCAGCTGTTTTGGCCCTTGAGAACACATTGGGTGTGTGTGTGGGGGGGGTGAAGAGTTCTGCACCACAAGCCCACAGTCGATCAGAGCATCAAAGCATTTTAAAATCACTGTAAAATCTGCAGGGGGGGGGATGGGAGTCAATCTCTGTACCTGTAGAGGGGAGCCTCCCCCACTTTTCTTCCCATCTGCCTGAAGCAAAAAAGCTGCTCTTCCCCCCTGCATGCCAGGCAGCAGGGAAGGAAAAGTGTGTGTGCACGTACTCACTAGGGTGGCCAACTCCATGTTGGGGAATTCCTGGAGATTTGGGGGATGGACATTAATCAGGTGTATTGCCATATAATCTATCCTCTGAAGTAGCCATTTTCTACAGGCCCTTGATAACCCTATTGCATTCCAGCCTGAGTGGCTATATAGTTATCCTTAAGTCTTCCTGTAGCAAGTTATGTGGAGCCAAACCAGAGCAAGGTTTTGGACTTTTTGGGGGGGGGGTGAGTTCAGTGGAAGATGGTGTTTTGAATCAAAAGGGCCATCCATCCAAGAAAATGTACCTTCTTCTGTGATCTCTGTTAGAACAGCCTCATTCCATGCTCAGAGGAAGAAACAGATACTTTTATGGTGATACATGGTTGGGGGGGATTCCCATATGGCACACTGCAACCCAGGAAAGTGGGACAAAATGGGGGTGGGGATCTTCATGCATTTACAAGACTCTGTTCATCATCCTATATATATAATTGCCCTATGTATTGGCTGTTTCCAGCTCTCCCATTGGCTGTGCTGTGCTGTGCACTCCATCAGCCACTGGCCCATCAACCATCACTCCTCTCCCCTGTCCACTGCCAGCCTGGACACTCTTCCCTCACAGAATAAACTGCCAAAATGGCTGTCTCTCCTGATGAAGACACTTCTCCTGCTTGGCTCCTGTGGGATTACCTTTTTCCTCAGTGGCTGTTGCTAGGCAACCAAGCTTGGTTCTGTCAGTAAAAAAGCAAAGGGGAGGGCTGGAGATCACTCAGAATTACAACTGCTCTTCAGATGGCAGAGATCAGTTCCCCTGGAGAAAATGGTAAGTTCTGTGTTATTATACCCTGCTGAGGTCACCACAGCAAATTGATGCTGAGTGCCCAAGGCCAGAGCACCCGCCCAGAGCCTCTTTCTAGAGCTCATATTTATTTCCACAATGGGTCTTATTCCTAGTGTGTAAATAAAGGAAGATGGTATTTGGTTTTAAACAAAATGGATTATCATTTAACCTTTTTTGTAGAATGATTCCTTGTAGAGATGTTGAACTACATCATAGCACATTCATAATAAAGTAAATAAATAATGATGTGCTCACCAACACAACTC